GTGACTTACTACTCCTCATTTATTGTCTGAGAAAGTTACTGTGCAAAAACAATCATATTCGTCTCTTTTAGAAAATTCTGAGAGTGCTTAGAATGAAATCTTTACAACAAAAGAAGTTGATTCCATCTTTCAGATTTTCAAACCTATATATATATATATATATATATATATATATATATATACATATGAGATTATGAGAATTTGAATCATTTTCTATTCATGAATCGATCTCTCTTATTAGAATATCAAAAAAAGAGTAACCAGATTCCGGACAAACAGATCCATCAAAATAAAGTGGTGTTAGATCAGTAACCACTAATTTAACCAACCGATGTTCAAGGCTTTGGACAAAGATTTTTGTTCCAACTATTTGACTGTTCAAAATTCTAACCATCATGTTTTGTTTTTAGTGTATGCATGGAAGCACATTGTCATTGTAAGCATTCCTCGTGACCATACTTTTGGGATTTAAATTTTGCAAGAGATATATAGAATTTAAGATGATGATTGAGAGACCTCAAACGCCCAAACCTTGGCCACCTATTTCGGCCTATTACTTTTTCAGTCTGGACAAGCTTTTCTCCAATCCCAATATCTTATATTTGCAATCTAGATTGAAAAGTGTTACACCATCATTGAATTTGCTTTTGCTATCAATGGGCTGTAATTAGAAATATAGATGAATCAATTAAATTATAATTTTTATAAAAATAAATTAGATAATATATGGGTTTAGCTTTAATATTATAAATTTATAGCTGTTTTTATGTTTCTTTTTTCTTTTCTTATTCCCTTGTTTATTTTTTTATAAAATAAAAGGTGCATTAAAAGAACAACCCCATCAAGGAATTACTGCAAAAGAATTCTGGGAAACATGATTCCATAACATCAAATAATAAAAATAAAAAGAGACAACAATTCAGGCTGCTTCTCAAAGAACAAAAAGGAAGAGCCAATAGAAGATCTCATCTTAGCCAATCGGTTCGCTCAAGAGTTAGCCTTCTTGAAGTTGTGTTGCACGCTAAGAATGCATCCCAACAATTATCAGCAATCATCAACAATCCCTGCAAAATAAATTTTGAAACAGTTTGGGAATCTATTTCCGCAATCAAGTTATTGAAATCAAGGTTGGTAGCAATGCACAAACACTAGTTGTGGATCCCAAGTAGCGAACAAAACCATAAATCCAATTTTCAAAATGGTCCCTAAAAACTCCACCCGCCCTTCCTTTATCAGGGTTGCCTTTAGCAGGGTTTGATGAAGCTCTATGGTGGAGGCTACCATCTAACATTTATTTTACAGGATTTTTAGGACGGTGTTTCAGATCATTAGTGGCCCAAAACTCCTTAACACAATTTTGGAGATTACTCATCGACCTAATAATGGTTTTAGAAGTACCATGGAATAGTAGTTTGTTTCTTTCAAGCAAGATAGATCAAATGGCCAAGGAGAACACAATCTTCCAAGGGATACGAGATATGTCAAATCCAACCATAGATTTGCAATTAATAGACAGCCAGCTATCAAACTCCATGTTGAAAGATGGGAGGATTTTAAAGGGAATGGCCAAAGCATCCTAGAAGTCTTTAGTGACAACATAGTCTCTAAGACACGGGGTAGATGTTTCAAGATATGTGTTGCATCTTGGACTCATAGGATTGATTCGCAGTCCCCGCTTGTATAAAGTATCACGAGTAGCGAAGGAACTCTTGGATCTTAGGCAGAGTGGGAATTTTCCATATGTCTTTCCATTTGCTATCATTCCTAGCAGAGGAATCCTTTAACATTCTGTAGACGAAGTTAAGAGAGAAAATACCTAACTTAGAATATTTCCAACTAACAGTATCCTCTAGCATTTTCCATTTGGACCTGGATGGCTATGACCTTTTCTTGAATCTTGTTAGGAGCACTGGAAAGAATGAAATCTCAAATACCAAAAATAGAGATGAAGTCCATAACCACTGAAGCTTCATCTTGGAGTAGCAAAGGACCAAAAATTAGAGAGTTAAGGAGACCAAGGCCAATCCAGTCATAAGACCAGAACAGAGGTTGTGCTCCCGATTTAATATCCCACTAGATACCCTTTTCAAGAATAGGGACTGTTTTGCGCATATTACCCAACCAATAGAGCACAGGATTTAAATCGTAGTTGCGATCATGTTTTCGATTATATTGATTTATCATAATTACGGATATAATAAATAAAATAACAATCATTGCATCCATCATAATCATAAATTTTTTTTTTTTTTTATACAACTCAATATATAATTAAGTAAATTATAATTATAATAGTCAAAACTCTTATTCTGATCTTCACAATGCTCTAAAATCTTTAAAGACAGATATTTCATGCAAATGATAAAAATGTAAGGTGAGAGGTGGTCACTTTGGCGGATTCCTTCTGAGGGAATGATTTTAGAACTTTATGAAGGTTGAAGAGATACAAGATATGATCAGTTTAATCCAAGAAAAAGGGAATTGAAAGAAATATAAAACCTTCCAAATGAAACTCTATTCAATTCTATAATAAGCTTTTTCCAGGTCAATTTTCACAATCATTAACCCCTCTTTGCCTCTTTTCTTCTAAAAGATTGGATGACCTCTCGAGCAATAATAACATTATCATGGGATTTTCTTCCAAGAACAAAACTAGACTGGAGAGAATGGATAATGCACGAAAGGAAGTGCCTAAGCCTGTTGACAAGAATTTTAATGATAACCTTATAGATGGCATTGCACATACCAATGGGTCAAAATTGATTAGTGCATTCAGGATGGTGGACTTTGGGGATCAAACAGATAAAGCATTCATTGACCACCTCAACTTGACCCGTAGCGAAAGTCTGACTAGTGAATTGAAAGATTGATTGACCAACAATGTTCCAACATTTTTTGGAAGAGTATGGGATGGAAACCGTCTGGCCTTGGGGCCTTGAGAAGTTTCATGATGGAGATAGCTTTAAAAACTTCAAAGCGAGTCAAAGGAATAGTGAGGCTAGTCTATTCAGTGTCAGTAAGCGGATTAGCAAAGCGACTACTAGTGGGGGATTGCACGTGCTAGTTTCCAGAGAAACAGTAAAAAGATTATTAAAATAATTAGAGATTAAGGATTTGATTACCGTTTCATCATTGAACAAATAACCAACAGATTCTTAGAGAGCAAAGGTCTTATTTCATCTTCTGCGTTGGATTGTGGTCATGTAGTAAAAGTGGGTATTATGATCCCCATCACTAATCCAATCCACTCTAGCCTTGAAAGCCCAAAGCTCCTCTTCAAGTTTGAGAATCTGTTAATAATCATCATTGAGAGATTCCTCCAAGTGTTGGAGCCAAGGACTAAGGGAGAAAGTAAGAGTTTGTTGGATTCCATATTTGTCCTTTTCTTGTAGAAAATATTACAAAAAGAATATTTGTTCCATATGAAAATGACTTCTTAAAAAATTGGAATGGATTCAAGAAGCGAGTTTTGAGCCTAATTCTAGTTATCTCTAACAACTTGGTTCAAATCCATATGAAATAACCAAATGGTTTCAAACATGAAGGGTCAGGGCCTAAACCGAGGCATTCTGGGATTAGTGTTTAATAAAATTGGATTATGATCAGACTGAATTTGGGTCAAGCGGAAAACAATGGAGTTGGGGTAGAGAGTCTTCTAATCACAATTTCCTCAGGCCCTATCTAGTCTTTCCTTTATGACTTAGCCGGCCTAATTTGTATTTGTCCAAGTGAATTGATGACCAACAAACCCATGTTTGATCATTCCACAATCGTTCATACAGTCTTGGAAGAAACGATATCTGGACTGAGGGGCCTCCTTCCAAATTTTGTGGAGTCGCTTATAAATTCATTAAAATCCCTCAACATCAGCCATAGTTGGGAGAGTTCCTCCCAAATGAGGCGCCTTATGGCAAAATGAGGTCAGGCAGATATAGTAGATGGCATCCATAAAACAAAGAAAGGTTAATTCAAGGAATAAGGAACACAAAGGTTAGAGTTAGAGGTTAGCTAAACTGTAGCATGAATAACTTGATATAAGTATTGCAAGATGTTGACTGTGACTTTAGCAGATTGCCAAAAGAGCCAAATACCACCTAAGAACCCATCAGCATCAACACAAAATGGCCCTTGTGATCTTGATTGTTTTTCGCCCAAGTGGATGAACATCGATTCCAAGTTTGAGTAGATTTCTTGGAGACTTTCCTTGGAGTCTAAGGGAGGAGGAGTTGGTGGCGGTGTTATGTTTAGAAGGGGTGCTTTTAGAGAATTACTTGGTTGGCTTGAGAATTGGAACGACAAGGATGGGTCCACATGATTCAATTTAGGGGTAGTTGAACTAGAAGAGTTTTGTTTGGGTGACTCAAAAAACCCGCATTAAATGCATGGAAGTCGTTTGCTCAATATTGCCAGAAATTTTAGCTTTTGGGAGGCGCTGCCACATGTTGTTCCACCATTTTGGCTTTGTTTTTATCTTTTAGATTCAGTGTCGGGTCTTCTCTATCCACCTTGGCTTTGCCTTTAACTTTCGGGTTTGGTGTCGAGGCTTCCGTTGTTTGGGATTCCTTGGGGAAACAATCTTCTATGGTCCATAATCACCGTTTTAGGACTCACTTCGCTGGAAGCTTCATGTTGTTTTGGAAGTTGTTGAGCAGGTGTCAACTCAACCTCGGTTGTTTTCAATGTCAGACGATTTGAAATCTCCATTTTGGTTCTTTTTACGTTGCGGACTCTCAAGTCTTCTTCTTGAGAGCAAGTTGGAACACTTTTTTCCATCTGAAATCTTATTTATTTCCAGTTCTATTAGATTGGGTTTAGTACTATTAGATTGGGTTTTTTACAGGTAAATTATAAAATAAACATCTTGTATGTTTATGTCATGCTGATGGGATAATTTAACTCATTAGGATTTTTTTAAAAATTAAAATGTATAATTGTATTCTATTAAAATAAATGATGCTTATGTCGACTTTTTATAGATGTAATAATATTTTCTCATTAATAAAAAAAGTCTACAACTTTTTGTCAGTGTATGTTCTAGAGCCAATAAAAATAGTCAGAGATACGTTGTTACTTACTCAAATTAATTAATTGTCTATAAGTGATAAAAGACTTTTCTCATCATTAGTACGAGAATATAAAGAGTTATTTGAGTAGCAATGAGATGGAGCCCAAAGAATGAAAATGCCTTGCAAGAGATATACAGGGTTATAATTAAGATATCCTTATTCTTAAGTGTAGTTCTTGATGGACGCAATGTTGAGACCAGACATCAATGTTGCTGCAAAGACTAGTGCATGATAAGTTTCTTATTTCGTGAAGTAAGCAATTGATGTCATATGTTAAAATACAGGGATACAAGAGGCTAACATGCGGGTTCTTGTCAAGTGAACAAGTTCACTGAACATGGCTTAGTCTTCATCTGTTTGCCTTCAAGGTGCTTACAATGCAAATCCCAACAACCATGTTTTTGGTATATAATGAACTTGATGTTTTCCAGAATCAAGTATTCAATGATACCAACGACCACCATCATGTAGGTGTTGACATAAATTCTCTCATTTCTCTGGTATCTGACAAGGCTGGATATTGGACTGATAGAGACAAAAATCTCAACACTAGTTATAATTGGTCATTCCAGGGGTCAGAGATGAAAAATGGAGCAAAGTATAGAGTAAGGATCTCAGCTGAGGGTGACAATGGCTCCTGTAAACATGAAAATGCCCAAAAAACCACTGATCGATGCTTCTCTTGACCTCTCTCATGTCATGCTTGATGAAATGTACGTTGGCTCCTTCGCAGTCACTGGGCAAACTAGTTGGAAACCACAAAAATTTAAGCTGGAACCTTCATAATTGAAGTGTTAAATGAGGGTTTCAAGTATTTTAAGTTTCTTCATCAATAATATTTTGGGTTATGATAATACCTCTCTTGCTTTGTTTGGACTATGCAATAATTTTTGTTTCCGTATTGTATCAATAAAGGCTAAAATAATTATATATATATATATAAACAGAGCCTTTGAATTTGTCACTTTATTTAAATAAATCTTGATACTTTTTTATTTAAATAAATCATTATACTTTTATTACACTAAATAAAATTTTAAACTTTAATTTGTACCCAAATAAACTTTTAATTTTTAATTTGTATTCAAACAAATTTTTAACTTCTAATTTTTATTTTAAAAAAAAACTTAACATAAATCAATTTTTCATTTAAAATAAAAATTTATTTAAATATAAATAAAAAATAGAGAGTTTATTTTAATACAATAAAAATAAGAAAATTTATTTAAAAATGAAATTTTAAAAAGAATGAAGAAGTTCAAAATTTTTGTTATTATTTTAACCATTTATAAACTCACATCTTGATGCTATTCCGGGATAAAGGGCAAATTTATTATCATATAGTGTGATTATATTGAATTTCAATATTATACTTTTAATTTTGTTGGTTATTTAAATAAAACATAACATAATGATAAACATGAGTTCATTATGACCGTTATTTTGAATTTTTTTTTTACTTGACAATAAAGAATTACGAAAATAAAAAACTTCTTGGTAATAAAATAAAAAAAAAATTTAAATTAAAGTATAATAAAAAATTAATTAAATTATAATGATAAAATTCAATAAAAAATTGTTATCTGTTGAGAAATTTAATGTTAATCTTTATTATTTTTTTTATCTATCAACAATTGAAATTTTAAAATTTTATGGTCCTAGGAATGCTTTGGTTGGATTATTGTTATATTTTTTTAAATGATAAATAAAAATTCTTTAAAAAAAAAAAAATAGCTTGTCAAATGTAGAAACTACCATGAATAATATAAGGAAGTGAGGTCAAATTGGATTCACAGAGTAGGTCGCCTTAAGCTTCTCATATAAACCCTACTACCACCTATAAATTTTAAAAAATTTACTGTCAATGTATATTATAATAATTTTTAAATTTTAAATTATATATTAAACAATCCAAATGTAAATAAATTAAACTACTCATCTGCCATCCAAACTTAAATAAAAAACTTTAATTCAACTCATTCATTGTCTGAGTTTAAGTTTAAACTCAAGTTATTTAATTGAAAATTTGACTTAAATTTGAATAATTTAATATCCGACTCAAGAAATTTATAAATCTAATCAAATTTTTATTTTTTAATATATTTAATTTATATAAGATAAATAATAAAATTATAATATTTAATGTCAATATTTATAATTTTACTGAACTTGATTTGAGCTTACCAAACTAAATTCAAACAATTCAATTAAATTATGACTCTAAAAATAAAATTCGACTTAAATTTCGTACCTTGAATTTTCAAGTCAAACCGAACTCCAGCCTCCATTCAATTCGCCAACACTACATCGATTAAATTCCTTATCATTCTAGAAGGAAGGAGCCATCAACGTCAACATTCCAAATACACTCCGTTAAATGGACAAAGCTATCATGAATATTCAAATGAATCAAGGCCAAAAGTGTTCTGATTCATACTGGTCAGATCAGATCCTTTCCACAAGCTCAGCTTCATTCAGATATTTTGTAGCTCAGAACAGGTTGTATGCAAAAGCTTCTGATGATTAGAAAGGAATTCATCAAATTAATGGAGCACCAAGCCACTAGAAAGCAGATGTAAAAAGAACAGGAACAATTGGGCATAATATGAAAGCAACACTTCGGCCCTCACAGGCGGCTTCACTCATATTTGGAAAAAGTCTGAACCCGGAGTCTACTAATTCAGATGTTAATGTACTAATGTCAGCGATCAACTACTTCAAGAAGTCGTCTTGAAACCAGCTAGATGGCCGCAACCAATTTTACTCACCTTTAATGGCCATGGTTCTTGTTTTGCAGTTTATTCTAGACAACTTTACCATTTGAATGGAAGTTCTCAACTCTAACCCCCATGTTTGTGTGCGTCAAATGAGAAAAAAAAAAAATTCAACTATTTATTCTGCCCACCCTACCCTAAGTCCTTAACCACAATGAAAGATGAAAAGTAAAAAGTTCTTCGCTCCAAAAATGCAGTCATAAGTTAATTTCTAAAGATACATGTTCAAACCAAGTACTACACTAATCAAAGGGGACGGATGGCACTGTCCGTCTATCCCAAATTTACTTGAGGTCTTCAAAATGACATGGCAGTCTGGTCAAGGGTGAATAAAATACCCAAAGCAGAATATCAAATTAAATTCAATAGCATGAATTATACATCAAAATACAAATCCTTATGAACTCATCTAAATGAGATTAGATGAGTACTCTCATGTTACTTTCATCCTATTAAATTCCTCAACATGTCAACACAAGCCAAAATGGCAATCATGACGAGCCACTAGCATTTTCTGCTATCCTAACCACTTAGTCAGCCTCAAACTTTACATTCTGCAGATGACACATAAAAGAGCGTGAAAAAAGAAGCTTAAGAAATCTATAACAGAATATCATAGAATTTATAAATTCTTAACGAAATAGGATATTCCTAATGAGGAAAACCATCACTAGGTTCACTCACCTCCCCATCCTTGCTTAAGGAAGAACTTTGACCAGTTTGAGGTGCTGCCTTAGAGAGGTCCTTTAGAGTTCCCTAAGGTTCATAAGTTATGCAAACACAAATTTTAAAGGGGGGAAAACAAAAGAAAAGGAAAGAACAAACATATACAACAATTGCATAAAAGAGATTGAAAAGGAACTATCATAGTGCAACACAAGAACTCAATTGACAGAAATGAAAGCCCAGATGAAATCTCTGAAAAGAGAACAAGAGAGAGGGCCACAGAGAGAGAGAGAGAGAGAGAGAGAGAGAGAGAGAGAGAGAGAATTCACAAGAACAGGAAAGTTGAAATGATTAATAAGGCAGAGAAAATTCCCCCTTTTTCATTGACATGCACAAAGTGATTCAATATGAATAGTTATTCATTTTCTCTAAAGGCATGAAAATATCAAATTTTTTTGAGATCACATAGGCTTGGAGACAGCATTACACCCACTATAGTAATAGGAGTCACGATAGGAGTCACCTTTCTCTATAATTCAAACAATTTTTGTTTGAACAATTATTTCACCAGCTCAGCCCAGCCTATTACAATATCACAAACAATAAATTTAACAACTGTAAAGGAAATGGCACCCAGAATTTTGCCTAGACATAACCAACAAGCATCCTACTTTCCTTAGGATAACCTACATAACCTTAATCAGATGATCTATAAACATGCAATCCTCAAGCTCAATGGTTTTCTGCTCAACTTGCATAGACTTCAGATATTCATTTCTGCATTTAATTAATTTGAACTTTCCAAATCTCCTCTATAGAAGTCATCATCTCTAGCTATCCTGTTGAAGCAAACTAAAATAGCAGGTCTAAGTACACTACTATCAACTTGGAGGCATCTGCCACGCTATGATTTTTGGCTAACAAAACCCTTATACACGTTGTGACAATGATCATTATCATACTACTAACATGGAAAATTTCCCATCCAGCTATAAAAGTCTAGAGGTGTAGAACCATTCCATTTAAATGTCTAGAGGTGGAAAATTTCACAAGGAACTATTTGAAATAACAAATACTAAAGGTGGGTGGAACCACAATATAAAAACAACCAAGCATTCACCTTGTTTGCCCACATAAGTCCACAAGCATTGCAAAGTGTCCTAGGCCCTTCAGGTCCACGTCGCATCATTGGTGTAGATTTCTCACTGATGCCACAATGTCGACAACTACCAAATGCAATAAAAAAAAATCCCCGTTGACCAGAGTAAGAAAATGTAGAAAAAAGATATTGTAATGCCACAACAAGGATTGCATTGCACCATGCATAATAGAAATAGAACACCATGCAGAAGCTAATATGGAAGCTCATCCCATTCAATTAACACTGTTTAAGCTTATTTTCGGATCTGCAATCTTCTTAAAAAATCGAAAAAAAGAGAGTGAAAGTATTTGAATCATGGCAGATTTAGGATTCAGTCAGAATCACGGGCTATACATTTTGTCCCCGTTTTCAGGCATTATGCAATTTTCTAGTTTGAGCGGGCTTATGGAAAAGCTGTTCTACTACAAAAGCATAAGCAAAAGGTGTTTAGCTCTCAAAATTTTAAATTTTTAGCTTATATGGGAAGCCCATTTGGGCTTTTAGATGAGGTTATAGATCAAAGTTTCTTCAAAAAGTGCTAATGTGTACAACAAATATTTAATGCATTATATTTTACATTCTCACTTTACCCTTCAAATTGTTCATAAAATTATGGAGAAATATATTACTTTACATGCATCTTTTTTATTTGGTTCAATTTTTATTGATTATATTTGTTTTTTAATTTCTAATTAACAAAAATATTTCTTTGTTTCATTTATTTCTTTCATGTAAAAACTTATGATTTAGTTTAAAGTCAAGTCTTTTATTTTCTTAATTTTTTAAAAATAAACAAAAATACTATCAAATAGTTTTCCATATTTGACGACACTTTTACATCAAGTTTTCAAACGATATCTTAGCTTCTCTTTAGAACACTTCTAGAACAACTCTACTTGAACAATACTCGTTACAGAAGCTACAACTAGGCCAAACAACCCCTAGGTTAGCTTTAATTTTATTTAAGATCATAATTGAACAATGATTACAAATAACTTGGGACCAAGTCTTTTCTGATAGAGGGTATACTGTTCAAATTTCAGATTACTGTGGGAAGCTCATATTTGAGTATGGTTCTCAAACGAACCCTTACAAGTTTAAGGCTTTCTTCTCCATATTTGACGACACTTTTACATCAAGTTTTCAAACGATATCTTAGCTTCTCTTTAGAACACTTCTAGAACAACTCTACTTGAACAATACTTCTTACAGAAGCTACAACTAGGCCAAACAACCCCTAGGTTAGCTTTAATTTTATTTAAGATCATAATTGAACAATGATTACAAATAACTTGGGACCAAGTCTTTTCTGAGAGAGCGGATACTGGTCAAATTTCAGATTACTGTGGGAAGCTCATATTTGAGTATGGTTCTCAAACGAACCCTTACAAGTTTAAGGCTTTCTCCTCTCTTCCCCATTTTCCTTATTCCCATATATTCTCAGTTCTCTATTTTCCATGATTATCTTTTCTGGGTATCAAAATATAATCTTCTTGTTCATTAAGTCTACCATTTAAGGTAACCATTGATAGGCAACTAGATTAAGTTGACTTACACAATCTCTTGATTTTGTGATCCATTACCATCTGCAACCCAGCTCTGGTTTGGGCCCCAGCTTGAGGCAGCTGATGCAGAATCATCAGCATTGGGCTTTAAAGATGTGAATTGACCTTTATTTCGTTGCATCCTGCAAAAAAGCAACAAAAAAATTATCAACAGCAAAGCTAGGAAACCTAAAATGCCAATAGAATAAAAAATTTTCATTAAGCACACTGACTTTGTACAACATAGAAACATAATAAACATAAAGCAAAAGAAGATGCCAACGGTTATGTGGTCTGTTGGTAGTGTGCTGGACTCTTAGTCTTAGTGATCAAGACTCAAATACCCAAAAAAAAAACTAAAAGAAGATGACAAACTGATCTATAATGCAAATTGTAACTTCAAGACAATTGAGACCTTTTGGTACATGCACAAACTTCAGTTTAGCATACTGCATTAACATGAAATTGCCACAAGTTTACAATGTTTTCCACATTCTGCAAAGTACACCATTTGACTAAAAAAATTGAAGTTCTAATTTGTTGATTACTTATGTTAGACCCAGTTCATGACCAGAAATGGCTTCAGTGACACAAGAACAGTTATCAATATTGTAACAAAAGAACACTGCAACATTGTGGCTCATATCAATATGAGGTCATGAACTTAACCATGAAAGTTTATGGATGAATCCTTCAAGCATACAGATGCCTTAAGTGCATCATAAGTCACTCGTAAATGAATTCATTCCGCTGATGTCCCTTAAGCTCATTCAAGAGCAAGGGCATTTTGCTGCACTAAGGATCAATCAAGCTCTAAGCAAAAGGTTCATAAGTTTAAGATTCAGCAAAACTTTTCAATTCCCCCAAGAAGGATTTTTTATTAGATTTGCTAAATTGCTCAAGATTGTTTCCTCAAAGTCTCAAAAGTTTCATGAACTTGGCAACAGTTTATTGAGACTTCACTTTGCCAAAGAAACCTTTTTTCTATCAACTAGATTATTTTTCCAAGTTCCATCAACCGTGTCCATATTCCCTGTCAATATTCCATTTTTATAAAAAAATAAAATATAAAAGTTAAAAGTATAAAACTACAATTTTAAAGATCTTAACTCATATCGATGGAATATAATGGTGACGTCAACGAGTACAACATGCCACCAACCATATATTGCGATCACATCAACCTTAGCATCTCTTTCTGTAGAAATCTGATTCTCCTACATTAGTGCAGCTCTGATTCTCCTACGTTAGTGTAGCTTGGTTTCCTAATTTATTTTCGGAATATTTCTCATTTATTCTTCTAATTTAGTCAACTATTGTAATTGTAAAGTTTTTAGAGATTTGTTTCTATTTTAGAATAGAATAATTCCCCTTCGTTTTATTGTTTTTGTTTTCTACTTCATATAAGTTGTTTCCTAATAGGGAATTTCACTATTCCTATTTATTTGGATGTACTCCTTCATTGTTCCTATTTATTTGGATGTACTCCTTCATTCTAAAAATAATAAAAAGAAAAAAGGACAAATGTTCTTTAAGTTTTCTACATGGCATCAGAGCAAGTCAGCCTGAAACATTAGATTGTAGCCTCACGAGTTTCCATTATGGCCAACAGGAGTGAGAACTCTTCTTCTGCAGAGGTATGGTGTAAGGAAAATCAAAAAAAGGTGATTCTCCAACAAACCCTTCAAAACAAGTCTACAAACTTTGGAACTAGTTTCCCAGCACAAAAAAGTAATTTCCTAAACACTTTTAAGCATTCAATAGGGAAATACATAATCTTGGATTGTTGATTCAAGGGCATCAATTCACATGATTGGAGTTGCATCCTTATTCAACACATATAGACCTTGCTATAATAGTTTTGCTATAAAAATTGCTAATGGCTCTCTCTCAAAGGTGGTAGGAACAGGTTCTATTGTAGTTTCGAAAGACATAACACTCAGTCCTCCATGTCCCCAATTTAAGATGTAACCTACTTTCCATCAATAAGCTTATGAAAGATAGATGTTGTGTCCCTAATTTAAGATGTAACCTACTTTCCATCAATAAGCTTACAAAAGATAGATGTTGTGCCACTGAATTTTTCCCAACTTGTGTGAATTTCAGGAATTGTGCTCAGGGAGGATTATTAGCAGTGCTAAGACGTGTGCAGGTTCTACTTCTTCAAGATGATGCACTTGAGAGACCACAAAACTCTTGTACAACCTTAGCCTCCAGCACTAGTAAGGATGACCTTATCATTTTATGGCATTATAGATTAGGACATCCAAATATTTTGTACCTAAAAAGGCTATTTCCCTCATTATTCAATAAAATCTCTAAAGATTTTCAGTGTGAAATTTGTCAACTTTCCAAGCACACTCAAATCCCTAGCCTTTCCTATAAATCATCTCAGTCTTTCTCAATGATTCATAGTGACATTTGGGGACCATTAAGAGTTAACAATATCATAGGTTCTAGGTGGTTTGTTACATTCATCGATGATTATACTCGACTCACTTGGGTATTCCTTATGAAAGAAAAATCCGAGGTTGGCCAAATCTTTCAAAACTTCAATAGCATGATACAAACCCAATTCCAAGCCAAAATCCAAGTCCTAAAAACTGACAATGGGAGGGAATACTTCGTCTCTATTCTCAACCCTTACCTCACCAATCATGGCATTCTCCACCCAAGCTCTTGCGTTGATACTCCACAACAAAATGGGGTTGTTGAGCGTAAAAACAGACATTTGATAGAAGTGACCAAATCCCACTTGTTGACTTCCAATGTGCCTAAACATTTTTTTGGAAGAAGCTGATCTAACTGCAACTTATTTGGTTAACTAAATGCCTTCTTGAGTTCTTAGCCTTAAAACACCTTGTCAAACTTGGTCCTTGATTCCTACCCACAAACTCGGTTGATCTATTCCATTCCCATCAAACTCTTTGGTTGCATTGCCTTTGTTCATATTAGCCAACAAAACCATAGCAAGCGTGATCCCAAAGCCTTAAAATGCATCTTCCTTGGTTATTCCCCAAACCAAAAGGGCTATAGGTGTTACTAACCCATCACAAAAAAATTCTATAGCTCCAAGGATGTCACCTTCTTTGAGAATCTTCCATACTACAGCAAGAATGATATTTAGGGGGAGAACACTACTCAGGAATATCAATTCTTAGCTGCTGACTTGCCAATTTCCCAACCAAGCCCTTCAAAACCAGATTCTCAACCAACCCAACCTATCAGCCATGCAGATTCTGAAACCCAACCTGTTCAGACATCTCTTAACTCTTCAAACCTAAGGTTATGCAAGAAAAAACAAAAGAACTGATAGTCTACTCAAGGAAGCAAAAAATGCAAGAAGAAGTGGACAACTCTACACAGCCAAGCACTAAAAATCAACCTGATTTGAGTCTCTAAGAACCTGAAACTAACACAGGTAACGTCCCTATTGAATCTGAAATTGAAACTTTTGAGCTAGCTGGTGACCTTGACATTCCTATTACATTAAGAAAAGGTGTGAGATCATGCACCAGATACCCTATCTGCAAGTATATCTCATATGAAAGGTTAAATCCAAACTTTCAAGCCTTTACTAATAAACTTGACAATGTGCAAATTCCAAAAAATATTCAGGAAGCCCCTCAATGAACCAGATTAGAAGGCAGCAGTTCTTGATGAAATCAAGGCACTAGAGAAGAATGGGACATAGGAAATTTCAAATTTGCCCAAAGGGAAAAACCCGGTTGGATGTAAGTGGATCTTCACAATAAAGCAGAATGCAGATGGAAGTATAATCAAGTTCAAAGCTAGACTTGTTGCAAAAGGGTTCACTCAATCCTATGGGATAGACTACGATGAGGCATTTGCTCTAGTAGCCAAACTCAATTCAATCAGAGTTCTATTGTCACTAGCAGCCAACTTGGATTGGCCTCTCCACGAACTTGACATCAAGAATGCATTCTTAAATGGTGACTTAGAGGAGGATATCTACATGGAAATTACCCCTGGTTTCAAACGCCAAGACAACATGGGCAAAGTGTGCAAACTCCATAAATCTTTGTGTGGACTTAAACAGTCTCCTCGGGCTTGGTTTGAACTTTTGACCAAGGCAATGAAAAGGTATGGATTCCTTCAATGTCAATCTGACCATACTATGTTTGTTAAGTTCACTAATAAAGGAAAAAGAATCATTCTTATTGTTTATGAGGATGATACCATAATCACCAGAGACCACAAGGAAAGAATAGATGATTTGAAGAAACTCCTTACAAAGGAGTTTGAAATAAAGGACTTAGGGTTCCTTAAATATTTCCTTGCGATGGAAGTGGCTCAGTCTAAGAATGGAATATCAATGTCTCAGCGTAAGTATGTACTTAATCTACTTAAAGAAACTGGCATGACTGGATGCAAACATGCCGATACACCCATGGACTCAACTAATAAAATTTGTAGTGAAGATGGAAGCTCTAAGTTTGAAATAAAGGACTTGGGGTTCCTTAAATATTTCCTTGGGATGGAAGTAGCTCGGTCTAAGAATGGAATTTCAATGTCTCAGCATAAGTATGTACTTAATCTACTTAAAGAAACCGGCATGACTGGATGCAAACCTACCGATACACCCATGGACTCAACTAATAAAATTGGTAGTGAAGATGGAAGCTCTCTCATGGACAAAGGGTGATACCAAAGGCTGGTTGGGAAGCTTATTTACATTTCCCACACATGCCCTGATATCAGGTTTGTAGTAGGGATGGTGAGTAGATACATAAATAATCCAACTAAGGAGCACCTCAAGGCTGTTCGTCGCATCCTACAGTACTTAAAAGAAGAGTCCCAGTGAAGGTAGATACTTTAAGAAGTCAATGGACAGGGCAGTCAAGGTGTACATAGATGCTGACTAGGCTAGATCAATAACAGATAGAAGGTCTATTACTGGATATTGCACTTATGTTTGGTGCAATTTGGTCACTTGGAGAAGTAAAAACCAAGCTGTTGTATCTAGGAGTAGTGCTGAAGCTGAGTTTAGAGCGATGTCCCATGATATTTGTGAAGGAATTTGGCTAATGAGGTTACTTGGAGAATTAAAAGTTCAGACTGTGACATCTATGACACTGTTTTGTGACAACAAGGCTACTATAAGTATGCCAAAAATCTTGTTTATCATGATAGGACCAAGCACATAGAGCTGGACTGACATTCCATAAGGGAAAAGATAGAAAATGGGTCGATCAAACACTACAAGTTCTCAAATTGCAGATATTCTAACTAAAGCTCTTCCTAGAAGCATCTTTGATGAAATGAAATCCAAGCTGGGTATGATTAAAATTCATAACCCAGCTTGAGAGGAAGTGCAGAAATCTGATTCTCCTCCATTAGTGTAGTTTGGTTTCCTAATTTATTTTGGGAATATTTCTCATTTATTCTTTTGATTTAGTCAACTATTCTAATTGTCAAGTTTTTAGGGATTTGTTTCTATATTAGAATTGAATAATTCTCCTTCCTTTTATTATTTTTGTTTTCTATTTCATGTAAGTTGTTTTCTAATAAGGAACTTCATTGTTCCTATTTATTTGGATGTACTCCTTCATTCTAAAAATAATAAGAAAAAAGGACAAATGTTCTTTAGTTTTCTATACTTTCAATCAACAAATTGACACTACAAGCTCATTTTGATGGTTTAAAAACAGTTAATAAGATCGCACTACCCTTGCCCTAGGGAATCATGATTTGGATTGTGCAATTGAGATCGCAATACTTGTGCGTTCCTGAATCCCTAAAATTTAGGATTCAAATTTTCAAAACAAAGGGAAATACAACATAAATACTTCAAAAGAAAAATGGAAAGATTAAAGAGAGAACATGAGTAAGTACAAATTCCAGAATTTCAGAAAGAAAGATTATAAAAGAGATAGAAGACAAAAGGAAGAACGGTAGAAAGATGGAGGCACATAAGGAGAGGCTGAAGCAAACTAACTAAACCTACCCCCTCATGCCACAAAATTAGCTAAATAACATGTTGTCCCTGCTCCTGTGCCATAATCCTAGACGTACCATATTCCTAACAACTATGGTTTAAACATCCATAATTATTTCTAACAGTCAAAGTTAAATTTCTTACTATTACAGATAATTCAAGTTAACTATAACAAGAAAATTAAAATGGCATTAACACATGGAGAGCCACACGCCAACTAGCAATATAGATTCTTTGACACCAAGACCATATGTCACAAAATAAGAACTTATATTAGATTTATTTGGTTATTAAGGTGATTCCTATAGGCTATAAATAGCCTTGATTTGTTTGGCTCATAGTTACAAGGCACGTGGTATGTCTCAGTTGTAGGTTTGTCTCGGTTGTAGTACTAGAACAAAATGAGGTACATTATTTAGCTAATTTGAGGTACAATTGGAGCAACAGGTTTAGTTGGTATTCTATTTCATTAATGGTGCATTGTAAAATAAATCTTGCGTCACTTGTAGTTTGATTTTGTTAATTACAATTTACAAGTGATTATAAGTACTAATTTTAATTTAATAGCGATATTGAATAAGTACGAAAGTGATTTTTCCTTTAAAAACGTAATGGGCTTTTTTTAATAAAATTATAAGTGAGCTTTTAAATATTAAGTCATGAAACATAAATGGGGGCTTTTTATGTTTTATAGATGTGTGTTAGGTTTAAAAGAATGAATATAATTTGACCTCTCTCTTTGTTTGCCCTACATCTCTCTGCCTTTCTTCCTCTTGTCTTCTCTCCTTAATCTTCTCATGCTTTCTGAAATTCCACAATTTCTACTTCCCCTTCTTCTCTCTTAAGTCTTTTCCCTTTTATTCCCATTTTTACTCTTAAGTTTAGATGTAGGGTTCTTTGTTCAAAAATTTTGGATTCCCAATTTTAGGGTTCCAAATCAAATACCAAAGGATTTAGATCGCAAAAATATCTCAATTTGGACCAACACAATCAAATTCCTTTGTCACTTAGACAAACTTAGTCCATCTCCAACATACTAGATTTAGCTACCCACTTGTCACTCAAACAATTCCCTTCTCCACTAATCTTTGCCTATGTCATTTTGATATTTTACAATTCCCTATATCATTGTCACAATTTTTGCTATCCACATGTCTAACTACTCAAACTATTCCCTTCCATTAATCTTTGCCTATATCTTTCTCAATTTATACTATATAATATAGTTTAGCTAATATTGAGCTAATAAGATCTTAGACAATTCATCTTATCTCTTTAGTTCTTGTACATGGTTACAAGGATCACCGATTGTTGACTCTTGAAGAAAAGATGCCAATGAAGCCTTGCATGTGCTTAAAATATTATCTAAATAAGAAAAATAGTTGACGTACTACTAGACCTCGGGGTCAAAGATAAGTCTTCAACTATATACTCTAATTATTGTACTTAGCTTAATTATATAGTTAGTACTACAAGATTGATAGACAAACATAAAGTATATAGTAGAAAACCTATCTTTATTGCGGAGGCTTGGTGGAAAAGGTGTCTTTAAAATTGATATCCACCCTCTATACACAATATCTCAAGTGCATGCAAGGCTATGGTGGCATCCTATTTCCACAATTCAACAACTAGGGACCTCCATAATCTTGCTCGTGAACTATAAAGACTGAGTGAATAGTCTAACATCTCACTAGATCAAGCTTATAATCATAGGTACAATATATGATAAGATTTTACAGTAAATTTGAATAAAAGGGAAATCTTTGAAATAGCCGAACAAGAAAGGAAAGTAGTATTTTGGCAAAAGTAGGTGATGCTCTTGCAATTTAATTGAACCACTGTCAGGCTATTTATAACCCAATAGAGAATAACTGGCACTTAGTTGCCACTTCGCTTCATACTTGTTTGCCAAGTAGCATTTTACACACAAGTTACTAGTTGGTATTAGTTTATATAGTTTGACACATAGTTTGGGTGGCAAAGTATGCATGCCACCAGTTAACAAGTTTATGGAGAGTGATAGTCTATCTTTCAATATTAAATTCATTTAGTTATTAATTCAATAAATAATTTGGATTATTTTACCTATTAAATTGAGTTATCACTATCAATCCCCCGCAAAATTCAAATTAAGAAGATGGCGAACAGAAATGACATGCATAATGATTAGCATCTTGTGGACTTGAACTGCCACTTTGTCACACAAGATAGTATTCAGAAGAGCCTAGTGCAATAAATTTCTTGAGCCATTCTCCCTTTGGTATAAATATTATGGTGTAAACATTGCATGCTGCATTAACATGAGTTTGAGTTTTATACTTTTAATGAGTTTCATAGTCAAAACCTATTGGTGTCTAGGTTGTAGAAAAACCTTAAGAAACTCACCTATATGAATGTAAAGGCAGGGCAAACCTTAATAGAAACTTGGGAAATTATCTCTAGAGCATTTTGTGAAATCCAAGAGCGAGAGAAGACCTTAATATATGTAAGGTGCCTCTGCGAATGAGGACCAGATAACTTAGATTCATAAAACAAATAGTGAGAAATACAGACTACAAAAGGCAAGAAAAAAAAATTGGAGTGCCTAATTTATCCATCTTTCAAGTCTATAATATTTGAGTATCTGGCAACTCCCACGGTTACAAGCTAAATGAACCAGTCTCTTCAAGTGGAAACCTAGTGTAATTAGAATACGTACAGATATGTAAAAGTGAAAAGGGAAAAAAAAAAAAAAAGAGAAAAAGCAAATGTCTAAGGAAAAAGCAATCAGATTATTCATGTCAAATTACCCATATAAGAACATGAAATATATTAACTTAAAAGACACCAAAGTTCAATATGAAATAGATTCAGCTTCAATTGAATTTTAATAACTACAACTTACTTCTTCTCAATTTCACCTTTTTGGTGGAGCTAGATATATATATTTAAAATTAGAGAATATCTTCCACTTCCACAACTATAAATTAGTTTGCACCAAAGAAAATGTCAAAATAAGTCATATCAAGGTAATTGTCATACCTTAGTGCTACCTCTTTACGGACAGTGTAACGAATTTTCTTGTCAAAATTCCGCTCTTTGCGCTTTTCACGGAATCTAAGCAGTGAGGCCAATCTCTGTGGGACACTAAACCGTTGTGGAGTACCAGGCAATCCCTGGTTAAATGATTACTTAGAAAATCCAGCAAAAAACCAAAAAAAAATTATTAAATCAAGCAACCAATTTGACCAGCCATCCATACCCTATTATTCTGAGTAGTTATAGGGATAGAAGGCATGGTTGGTGGTACTTCACACCCGCCCAATAATAAAAGCACAGCTTGAACCTGTGGAAGATGGCCGTGAAGGATCAGAACTGTTCTCTATCATGAAAGTCATTAAGACAAAAGACAAATTAATATGAAAAAAAACTTCTGGAGTTCATTTGTTAAAGAGACCAAAAGAAAACCTACAATAAGCATCCTTTGCATGTCTCCGATGTTCATAACCTAACAGCTTTCAAACAAAAACAATTTTCAGGAGAAATCATATTTCCCAATTGTAACTAAGTAATGAACCTAAGTTGAACAGATTTGTTCCAAATATTCCACACAGCATGGTTACTAACGGAACTACAATAATTAAGAACCCACTTACAGACAACTATTTTGGTCACATTCCAATTTTAGGTTAGGATAGTACAGTAAATATCAACGGATGATATTCACCATTGCTAACCACCAATTAAGAGGAGAATCAGTCCTAATAGATGCATTATTTGCAAACCAGCAATTGAGTTGGTTCCTTATCTTCTGCTTGAGTTTCTCTTGGGCGGCATGGTTATGATCCTTAGATTATGCAAATGTTGGGTGTCTTCTAGCTTGTTGCAAGTTCAGCTCATCAGCAGCTGTGAACATGGCAGGGTGCACATGCTTGTACAGTTACTATAAAAGGAATAAATTTGATTCTTCCTTTGGAGGGGGGGGGGGGGGGGGGGGGGGGGCAAGTGGATGGTGGGGTGTTCTCTTTCAAAGAGAGAAAAGTAGGACATTTAAGGGGTAAGAATTATCCTTGACAGAGCTTTTGGGTTGTAGAAATTTGATTCTCCTACATTAGTGCAGTTTGATTTCCTAATTTATTTTGGGAATATTCATCATTTACTCTTCTGATTTAGTCAACTATTCTGATTGTCAAGTTTTTAGGGATTTGTTTCTATTCTAGAAAAAAATAATTTTCCTTTTATTATTTTTTATTTTTTGTTTCATCTAAGTTGTTTCTTAATAAGGAACTTCACTGTTTCTATTTATTTAGATGTACTCCATCATTGTAGATGGAATAAGAAGAAATAAGGACAATTGTTCTTTAAGTTTTCTACATGGTATCAGAGCAAGTCAGCCTAAACCATTACACTGTAACCACACGAGTTTCCATTATGGCTAGCAGTAGTAAGAACTCTTTTTCTGCAAAGCATGGCATGAGGAAAGTCACAAAGAGGTGATGCTTCAACCCTTCAAAACAAGTCTGCAACCTTTGGAACTAGTTTACTAGCACAAAAAGGTAATTTCCTAAATGCCTTAAATGTTCAACGAGTAAATACACAATCTTGGATTGTTGATTCAGAAGCATCAGATCACATGACTAGAGATGCATCCTTATTCAACACAAATAGATCCTGGTATGATAGTTCTACTGTAAAAATTGCTGATGGCTCCCTCTCAAAGGTGGCAAGAACAGGTTCTATTGTAGTATCGAAAGATATAAAACTCGCTCCATCCTCCATGTCCCTAATTTAAGCTGTAACCTATTTTCCATCAGTAAGTTTACGAAGGATAGATGTTGTGTCACTAAATTTTTTCCCAACTTATGTGAATTTAAGGAATTGGGCTCAGGGAGGATTACTGGCAGTGCTAGGATGTGTGCAAGGCTCCACCTTCTTCAAGATGATGCACTTAAGAGACCACAAAACTCTTGTACAGCCTTACCCTCTAGTACTAGTAAGGATGAGCTTATCATGTTATGGCATTATATAGATTAGGACATCCAAATATTTCATACCTAAAAAGGCTATTTCCCTCATTATTCAATAACATCTCTAAAGATTTTCAATGTGAAATTTGTCAACTTTCGAAGCACACTCGGAATACCTACCCTAGCCTTTCCTATAAATTATCTCAACCTTTCTCAATGATTCATAGTGACATTTGGGGCCGTCAAGACTTAACAATATCACAAGTTCTAGATGGTTTGTTACATTCATCAATGATCATACTCGACTCACTTGGGTATTCCTTATGAAAGAAAAATCCGAGGTTAGCCAAATCTTTCAAAACTTCAATAGCATGGTACAAACCCTAATTCCAAGCCAAAATCCAAGTCCTAAAAACTGACAATGGAAGGGAATACTTCAACTATGTTCTCGGCCCTTGCCTCACCAATCACGGCATTATCCATCAAAGCTCTTGCGTTAACACTACACAACAAAATGGGGTTACCAAACACAAAAACAAACATTTGATAGAAGTGACCAAATCCCTTTTGTTGACTTCCAATATGCCTAAATATTTTTAGGGAGAAGCTGTCCTCATTGCAACCTATTTGGTTAACCGAATGCCTTCTCGAGTTCTTGGCTTTAAAACACCCTATCAAACTCTCCTTGCTTCCTACCCACAAACTCGATTGATCTCTTCCATTATTAGCCAACAAAACCACAACAAACTTGATCCCAAAGCCTTAAAATGCATATTCCTTGGTTATTCCCCAAACCAAAAGGGCTATAGGTGTTACTCACCCATCACAAAAAAATTCTAAGCTCTATGGATGTCACTTTCTTTGAGAATCTTCCATACTATAGCAAGAATGATACTCAGGGGGAGAATACTACTCAGGAATATCAACTCTTAACTGTTGACTTGCCAATTTCCCAACCAACTCCTTCAAAACCAGAATCTCAACCAACCCATTCAAAACCCGATTCTCAACCTACCCAACCTATTAGCCATGCAGATTCCGAAACCCAACCTATTCAGACAACTCTTGACTCTACAAACCCTAAGGTTATGCAAGAAAAAAACAAAAGAACTGATAGTCTACTCAAGGAAGCAAAAACCACATGAAGAAGTGGACAACTATACATAGCCCAGCACTAAAAATCAACCTGATCTGAGTCTCCAAGAACCTGAAACCAACACAGGTAATGTCCCTATTGAATCTAAAACTGAAACTTGTGAACCAACTGGTGACCTTGACATTCCTATTGCATTAAGAAATGGTGTAAGATCATGCACCCGGTACCCTATCTACAAATACATCTCATATGACAGGTTAAATCCAAACTTTTGAGCCTTGACTATTAACCTTGACAATGTACAAATTCCAAAAAATATTCAAGAAGCCCTCAACGAACTTGCTTGGAAGGTAGCAGTTCTTGAAGAAATCAAGGCACTAGAGAAAAATGGGGCATGGGAAATTTCAAATTTGCCCAAAGGAAAAAACCCAGATGGATGTAAGTGGATTTTCACAATAAAGCACAATGTAGATAGAAGTATAAACAGGTTCAAAGCTAGACTTGTTGTAAAAGGGTTCACTCAATCCTATAGGATAGACTACGAGGAGAAATTTGCTTCGGTAGCCAAACTCAATTCAATTAGAGTTTTATTGTCACTAGCAGCCAACTTGGATTGGCCTCTCCACCAACTTGATATCAAGAATGCATTCTTAAATGGTGACTTGGAGGAGGATGTCTACATGGAAATTCCCCTTGGTTTCAAAAGGCAAGACAACATGGGCAAAGTGTGCAAACTCTGAAAATCTTTGCATGGACTTAAACAGTCTCCTCAAGCTTGGTTTGAACGGTTGACCAAGGCAATGAAGAGGTATGGATTTCTTCAATGTTAATCTGACCATACTATGCTTGTTAAGTTCACTAATGAAGGAAAAAGAGTTATTCTTATTGTTTATGTGGATGATATCATAATCACTGGAGACCACAAAAAAAGAATAGATGATTTAAAGAAACTCCTTGCAAAGGAGTTTGAAATAAAAGACTTGGGGTTCCTTAAATATTTTCTTGGGATGGAAGTGGCTCAGTCTAAGAATGGAATATCAGTGTCTCAACGTAAGTATGTACTTGATCTACTTAAAGAAACCGGCATGATTGGATGCAAACCTGCCGATACACCCATGGATTTAACTAATAAAATTGGAAGTGAAAATGGAAGCTCTCTCACTGACAAAGGGTGATACCAAAGACTAGTTGGGAAGCGTATTTACCTCTCCCGCACACAACTTGATATTGGGTTTGCAGTAGTGATGGTGAGTAGATACATGAATAATCCAATCAAGAAGCATCTTAAGGCTGTTCATTGCATCCTACAGTACTTAAAAAAGAGTCCTAGTGAAGGTCTACAGTACTTAAAGAAGAGTTCTGGTGAAGATCTATATTTTAAGAAGTCAATGGACAGGGCAGTCGAGGTGTACACAGATAGTGAATGGGCTGGATCAGTAACAGATAGAAGGTCCGCTACTGGATATTGCACTTATGTTTGGGGAAATTTGGTCACTTGAAGAAGTAAAAAGCAAGCTGTTGTATCTAGGAGCAGTGCCAAGGCTGAGTTTAGAGCAATGTCCCATGGTATTTATGAAGAAATTTGGCTGACGAGGTTACTTGGAGAATTAAAAGTTCAAACTGTAACATCTATGACATTGTTTTGTAACAATAAGGCTACTATAAGTATTGCCAAAAATCCTATTTATCATAATAGGACCAAGCACAGAGAGCTGGACCGACATTTCATAAAGGAAAAGATAGAAAATGGGTCGATCAAACTGGCCTATATCCCTACAAGTTCACAAATTGCAAATATTCTAACAAAAGCTCTTCCTCGAAGCATTTTTGACAGTTTGAAATCCAAGCTGAGTATGATTAACATTCATAACCCAGCTTGAGGAGGAGTGTAGAAATCTGATTCTCCTACATTAATGCAGATCCAATTCTCCTACATTAGTGCAGCTTGATTTCCTAATTTATTTTGGGAATATTTCTCATTTACTCTTCTGATTTAGTCAACTATACTGATTATCAAGTTTTTAGGGATTTGTTTCTATTCTAGAATAGAATAATTTTCCTTCCTTTTATTATTTTTTATTTTCTGTTTCATGTAAGCTGTTTCCTAAAAAAGAACTTCACTGTTCCTATTTATTTAGATGTACTCATTCATTGTAGATGGAACAAGAAGAAATAAGGACAATTGTTCTTTAAGTTTTCTACATGGGTGTATGGGTTTAAATCCTTCTTCAAGTTAGCAATTCTCGATGCCTTTTATTGGTATTGATTCTTCAGTATCAAAATTTTTGGAAAGAAATATATCCACGCCTTATTGTGATTCCCCAAAAAATGAAGCATAGAAGCTAGTAACAAAGGATATATTGAAGAAATTAAAAGAAAACTTTGTCATATCAGTTATAGGTTGGTCAGAATAATCTCAGATCCTATGGTTCTCTAAGCAGCTCATTCCTAAAACAGTTGGCAATTAACTGAATGATCATATTTGTAACACTAATTAGAAAGACCTATTGGATTGCATAACAGCAAAGGCAGATGAAACAGATTCTTTCAATCATTAAAGTTAGTTAACCTGTTGCCACTCTATCTCACCATTGATCTCTAGTTTTAAGGATTCTACCTTGTACTTATAACAATCTTGTCTTGCAGATTAAAATGGAAAGATTCCACTAAGTAAAATTAACAACTAAAGGTGGGTATTACTAGTAATCATAAAGACTAATTTTTTGGCAAATTGACTTATGTGTAATTAGTTTATGAATGTACCTAGAATACCATCTCTCACTAATAAATAACAAGTTGCAATGCAACCAAATCTTCCCATCCGCACCTCCATTTTGCATACCTTACGGTTTCGGATTTGTCATCAATATCTTACACCCTTTACCTTTGATGATTTGTCATCAAGTTCTCTTCTAGAAGGCTTCTTAAATTTACCAACAGCTGAAATTTTTTGCTCCAACAGTCATGTAATTGTGCAGCAGCTGTTTATAGCCACTTATCATATTTCATGGCTGGCACTTGCCAACTCTTGTCATCCCTTTCTATTTTCTTCTGCCTCCCCTCCTCATTTTTACTCCATTTTTCTTCAATTTACACAGACTTTCTTAACATCTATCTCTCTAGATAGAAACCCAAATCAGATATGTGACAGCAGTCTCTTGTCACCTTACATCTTATTTTGTCCTGTAAGCTTATCCCATCTCACCTAGTATGTCAAATGAAATCATAAGGCAATCAACATCCTCGGTTAAATTTGGCACACCAGTTCCCATGTTATGGATAGCAATACCATCTAGCCATCTCGATTGCTTGCTAATTTGATGAGATCTCAAAATCTGACCTAGTTAGTAAACAAAAGACTCATTTGCTGCAAATTTGTGAACCTAAGACAGTTTCAGATCACATTTGCTAATTTTCTTATTTTGAATAAAGAAAAGAGAGAAAAATAAAGAACAGAAAAGAAATGGAAATTCTCTTCTCTTATCCTTCTGATTATATGAAGAAAAGGGGGAAACTAAAATCAAAGAAAGTAAAATTAAATGCAATAGTTCATATTCCATAGCAGCAAACTAAATTTTCTGACAAAAGAATTCCTCCGAAGTACAGATTGTCTTCTAAACAAAGAAGCAGAGAAAAGCCTCCATCATTCCTCCTACTCCTCTCCAGCCAATTGGAGTGATATATCTAATGCTATATGTTCATAGTTACATTTCATTGAAGTAATTTAAACATCTAACACATATAGCAAGATAAACAAGACTATGTTGGAAACACACCTAACAGACGCACATAAACAAATAATTTCAATTTTCCCACCATACTAGCAGAGGCAACAAGAATAATAAGTTCAGCGAAACACTAAGAGAAGAAGAAGTGAGAGCTGGACCTTTTCGGGTGGCACGGAGTCGTAGACGTAGACTTGACCCTGAAAAGACAGAGTAAGCTGGTTGCCATTATCGGGGCCCTGGTTACCGGAAAGAGCCCCGGGGTGATCCGAGGGCAGATCCCCTGCTTCTACTCCCTCAGCTACTTCACCATCAACACTGTCATCGACATCACGATGGTGATGATGATGAGGATCATGATGATCATCACCGTCAACCATCGCATCCCCATTCATGATATGATGATGATGATGTTCATAGTGTACATGATGATGCATTGGGTGTTGTGCATCACTAGCCATATGCATGCTGCCATTGTTCCTATGTATCCCATCCATCTTATCTATGTACCTATATCTATACACTACACACCATAAAAGTTAATATACAAATCCAGAGCTTTTCTCTGCCAATCAATTCTTCAAATTTCCAAATCGCATCAAACCCAATTTCAGCTAAAAAGAAAACTTTACCCTAACCCTAATTTTGACCGTTGAGTGCAGATCTGGCTCGTCAAAGAATCTAACAGCCGGGAAAATGAGGAGGAAATGTAGACTCGACTTGTCCAACGTCGGGTGGTAGACACGGCCCGATGGACAAGCATTTCCAAGCCCGGGCCTGATTCGATTTGGATTTAATAAAACATATTTTTATTAGAATATATTTATAAATATTAAAACATTAATATTTTAATAATAAAAAAAAAAAAAAAAAAAAGCTCCTTGAGGCCCGACAGAATGAGTTCAGCCTTTGACAAATCATTAAAAAAACTAATCAAAATTGAACCGACTCAACCTATGAACAAATTTAATTTTGTTAGTGTTTTTGTTTTGGTGTTTGTTCGGTTGAAAGGAGATAAAAAAGGAAAAAATAAGTAATCTTTATATAATGAGGATGAATTAAAGATGGGATGCGAAAGGTTAGTTTCTTTTGTTAGGGTTAAAAATGATTAGCCTAATATAATTAAGAATTGGATTGTGTTAAAGTTTTAGGATTAACTTTTTAGTATATTAAAATTTATTAATAATTAGTGTTTGATCTGAGTTCTTACTAATTGTTCAATTAATTTTCAACATTTTATAGATTGTTTAAATCAAGATCTAAATTTTTAATTTTAACAATTAAAAAACACATTTATTCAAAATTTAACAATAAAAAATTTTTTAAATGAAATTTGACACATTTAATACATACACATTGATTCATTAGAATCACAATATATTTTAGATTATGTGTAAATTTTAAGATAATATGGAATTTTTAATTCTAAGTTTTTTTTTTTTTTTCATTTTCTTTCTATTTTTAACTTAAATATTCTTATTTCTTTCTCTTTAACTCAGACCTCATCTTTCTTAATCTTTAAATAGATTTCTCAAAAACATTTGTTAATCTCTTAAATCCACATATACTTAAAGTTACGAGTTTTCTTTCAAAAAACTTATACCTGCCTTATTGTTTTTCTATTGTGACCAATCCTCATTTTCTTAAAGTGGCTAGAAAGCAAAGTACCTAAGATAAAAAGCACCACTTGCTTTTGGTATCTCATTAAAAGCAACTATTTTGCCATCGATTCATGAAAAAGAACACCCAAAAGCTTGATTATGGGAAATCTACAATGATAAGAGCAATCAAGCTTCCTATTTCATGAGTCTTAAATTGTAGAGATTGATTTTGTCATTTCCTTTTTAGTAAGAAACAATCTCATTGGCTTTCTTACATTTCAACTATGTATGATTTTTTTCTTATGTCTATTTGCAAATTTTTTATTTTAGAAATTATGGTATGGTCAGTTGAATTTTGGGTATTTTTGGGTGTGAGTCTAGGGTATCATTTAGATTGAATTTTGGTATAAGGTAATTATGGTGGAGAACTAGTGGTGACAAGGCCTTTAAGTGGGGTTACCAAAAACAATGGCTTAAGTTTTTGAATGTTGTATAGAGAATTTCTAGTGGAGTTTGGATAATGGTTGAGGGGTGGTAATAATAGTTGCCAATTAGGACATGAAAGTTGCTTACATTTTGAGGCCAAAGGTGTTGGTTTAACATTGGGTTCTAAATTTTTCAAGATTGCTCTAAATTGAATAAGAGAAATAAAGAAAAAGCGAAGAGGTAGAGAGAGAAAAATAGAAGAAAATAAGAGAAAATAATTAATTTATTTTTTTATTTAAAAATAATATATTCACATGTTGGTATCTTAGTTGACTTCTTATTTGGTAATTTTAATAGCGACATGTCCAAAGTATATATAAAATACATACAATATAATTAGGCTATCAAATCAAAATAAAAATTGAAATTTTTGATTGATTGAAATTCTGCAAACGCACAAATCGTACAAATAGTAAGTAAATATCATTCCCAAAAAGATTGTAAATATAGATAATACTAAGTACAGAAATTATAACGTCTTAATTATATTCGGACAAATTAAAACTAATATACAATAACTAAATTAAACTATTTAACTAATCAAATCTAATGCAGCAACTTAAGAAATTAAATTATTATGTAAGAATACTAAATTAACTAAAATTAAAACTTAAAAAATTTAATTTAACTCGTGAAACTTTAAGAATAGTACATTAAACCTAATATAACATACTTGAATCGTAAACAATATAAATAAATTTAAATTGCAACTAACAAAAATGAATTTAAGCAAATTAAACTTTAAATCATATATAAACATTAAACCTAATCTAATAACTTGAAATCTAACTTGTACAACTAAATTTAACTTGAGAAACCTTAAATCAAACTAGAGTAAAACTAAATTAACTTTAAATTGCATGAATTGAACTTGAATTAAATTAAAACAGTAAATTAAAGTAAATAGCAAGAATAGAAAATCAAAGAGATTTAACTTAAATGAATTTAAATCAGAATATAAATTGTTTAAAAACTTAAATTACACTTATAAAAATTTAAATTAACTTGAAAGAAAATAAATTGAATTAAAGACTTAAGAAAACAATGCAGGAAATCTTAAAAGACTAATGGCTAGTCCGTTTCCCCAAGCCTTAAACTAAAAGAAAACTTAAAAAAAAAAAAAAAACCTTATAAAGCTATAGGATAAGCTGTCATCCTAACCATAATTTTTTATAATACCTATGCTAGTTATTTATAGAATAAAAATACAAATAATCCTAAAGCTAGAAGGATAGATAAATGGTTACTAGGACTTTTTTTCAAGAGAAAAGAATTCTTTATAATTTCTTTTAAACCCTCGGCAGCCTTCTTGAATAAGAACTCCAACTTGGACTAAGCTTTAATACTTCTTAGGCCTTTCTTGAATTAGGCTTAAATCTTAAAATTAATTGGTTTTCAGATCAGTTTATTAGATCTTGAACTTATACTTCTAGCTGAAGAGTTCTTAAAGAAGAAAAAAGTAAAATTCTGAGTTAGGTTTTTCTCATTTGTTACCTTTTTTTTATAGTGCTCTTCTATCTTTATACAAACCTATCCTTAATAAGAATAACCATTCAAATTAGGATTTTCTAGTCAACTTCGAAAAACCAACTCTAAATAAAATAACCAAGGCTATCTCTTAATCAAGGTAGAAATTCCAAGTTAAAGTAGGATTTTCAAGTCAAAGTAGGTAAACTTTCTTGAAATAGGAAAACTAAGAGAGATCTAGATTTTTCCAAGTATGGACAAAATTTTCAAGTTATCATACCACATAAGTCTCCAAGTCATCTCTCTTAGCTGATAAGAAAAACTTACTATCATGTCATCCAATAATATTCTTATGCATGTGCACTTACATAAAACACTATAGACTTACAATTAACTTAAATTTACTCTTTTACCCCTATAATGGCATAACTTCCCTTAGAAAATTCTTTGCATGAATTTTTTAAAATTTTCATCAAGAGTGAGCAATCTTAAGTCTTAAGGTGTGACATTAAAATCTTGAATAAATTCTTGCACTTTCATTTTAAGATTTTATAAGAACTTTAAGAATCAATAAAAACACATCAAGAACCCTTCAAGATTCATTCAAATGTATCAAGAATCATCCAAAATTGATTAAAAAATTCCAAAATTCTTTAAAATTCACTAAGATTCAATCTTTTCTTCAGGATTTCCTATAAAACAATAAATTAAGCACTTTAGGAGTAAAAAGAAGTTTATTTTACCAAAAAAAACAAAAATAACTCATTTAAACATTGAAAATTAGTTTAAATAAATCTATTTATAGAGTTGTCATTGATTAAAAATTTTGACAAAATTTGGAATATATAATAAACAGTATTAGGAAAAAATAAAATATCCAAAAAAACTTTATAAATAGGATTTTTGAGCATACTACCAAAATGCTAAAATAAAAAGTAAAGGTTTTAATTACCTTAATTAAATTTCTTCAATTTGTGCTATATTTATCTTGTATGGTCATTTTTTTATACTTGCAAATCTATATAATGTTAAAATAATTTTATTTATTTAAGTGAAATAATATTTTAAATATTTAAATAATATACGTCATAGCTTACTTGTGTATACATATTTTCTTGCAAGCATTTCAATAAAATCTTAATATTTAGCATTTATATCTGGTTTGCTAAATTTTTATAATTTTTTATTTTTTTGGTTTAACATTAAATGCAAAATCGTATTTTTGTAAAAGTTGAAATTGAATATTTTTAAATATTAAATAAGTAACTATATCGCTTGACATGTTCAATGCCACATCAGCTCGGTCACATCATTATTATTCCTCCCCAAGTCCTTTGCTTCCTATCTATAAATATCGATATCTAGGTACTATAATTCTAAGTTTCATCTTGTTTTAATTGCTTACTTTTCTCTCTTTCCAACTTCCCTTATCTTGATATCTGACTTTGGCATTAAAGTGTAAATGTAGGGAACATTCCCTACCTTTGCATCTAATTGCTCTCCTCCCCTCTTTGCCTTTCGAGGAATACCCCTAAGTCGAAACTTAGCACAAATATTTGGCATGCCATGTAGGGGTCTCCATTCTTTAAGCCAAATTATTATTTATAAAAGAAATCACTTAAAATGCTTTAATGATATATATTAAACTACTTACTTTTGATATTTTTTTCAAGTAAATAAAGAAAAAAATGACTTTTTTTTAGTGTCTGCATAAAGTATCTCTTGAAGATACATTATTTTAAACATTGTATCTATCATCTTTGAACTTTCAAAGTTGAAATCATTAAGTTTTACTTTGAAGATTTATAAACAATTTATTAACTCTTTCAATTTTTTTTCCACTTTAGTATCTCCATCCTCTTAAGAGTAAGTTATGTCAAACTTTAATTAAATAATCTTTATAATCATATAAAGTTAGACATTTTATTGTGAAAATGACTTAACCACATTTTTTATTCGAAGTAATTGCTTACATGTATAATCTAGAGCTCGATTAGTTTTCTATGGAGAAAAAAATGATGCATTACTAGTCATCTTTGATATGTTAACAATCAAATTATACCGATATGAAATATAATTAATAGTCAATCTTAGATTCAATTGAATAAAAATGAAAATAACAAATATCGATGCAATCATTTTCAAAATTTACTTTTTGAAAATATTTTCACAAATTTTACTTAAATTGACATATAATGATAATGAAATTAAATGATAACTTA